CAATATGTAGGTAAGTTAAAATGACTTAAATTAAGAACATTTACTTTATTTGAGTAGATTGACCAATGGATTAAGTGTGATTTTATTAATTCAAGCAACATTGTATTTTGTTTCTTGTTTCTTGCAAAGAGTCGTCGTTTTTCTTGTCTTAAGTGTAGCGAGATGTATTTTCATATTTTATAGCGCAACTTTTCTGGTGGGTGGTCCTTCACCTGCTTGTGTCCATGGAGATGTTACTGCTTTGACTGGAATGTTTCACAGTATGGCATTAAACCTGTTTATCATCATGGAAACCAAAACACACCAAGTTGCAAGTCAAATCTGTGGAGAAGCAACCTCGTTCACAGTCAAAATGTCTTTTTTTGTTTTTCTAGGTATTTTTGAGCTGTAAAACCACCTGTAGTTTAATAATGCAAGATAGAGCTTTTTAATGTCATACTGTGGAAACTTTCAGACAAAGAAATGACGTCTCCGTGGAGAAAAGCATTAACGGTTCCTCCACCAGAAAAGCTGAGCAGATAAAGATTTCATTTTTTGCAGTATTATTTTTACTCACTTTGCAATTTCACGATGATCTTCTCTGATGTCCAAGTTTGATCACTGACTTTGCTAAACACTTAAAAGTTGCATTTTTGGAGCTTTGGAGCGTCACAGTCAAGCTAACATCACACAGAGAGTTTTTCATTATTCGATACTCAGATCCGTCTTCTATTGAATTCTCATTGTCATCCACCCACTTCACTGAAACAAGCTGGCGGGACTGTGTAGAGCAACTGAATCTCGTTAAAGAACTTATCTTAACACATTGTAAAGTGATGTTTTGGCCTGGTTTTGTGTTAATGATTCTGTTTGGGGTAAAAGTTGAACAGTTAGCTCCCAAATTGGACTGGTTTTTCCAACAAACATTAGTTAGCTGTTGGTTGAAAGATTGGAGTGGCAGATAGCAGTTTGAGTTGTCCACCTCAGCAGAATTCACTTCTATTTGTCCATTACTGATAATAGCAATGTTGGCACTTCCAGCTCTCCATCTCTGAAAGCAGACGGTGTTCTTGCACGTGTATTTAATGCGGTATCCAAAAGAATCAGCAGCACCTATGGAAGAATAAATGGACATGCCCAGTCAAAAGTTTGGACACACTTTTATCTGTATTTGTCTTCTTTATTTTCATGATTATTTACAGTGTAGATTTTCACTGAAGGTGACGTCATCAAAAATATGAATGGACACATAAGAATCATAGTAAACTATACATAAATACAAAAATAAAATCTTTGCTTTGAGCCCTGGTTTGTACTTTTGGCATTTTTTGACCCTGATGAGTGCAAAACATTTCAAGAGGCCAAGGGTTTGCAGCAACTTTCTTTGAGCAATATTATGTTTATACTATTCAGGTTTTTTTTTTTTTTTTGGATACAGAATTCAGTATATCTGGCTTCATATATTTCATGTATCCTGTATGTATTGTAAATAAAATGTAGAAAGTAGCAAAACATAAAAAAAAAAATTGGTGAGTCGAGTCCAAACTTTTGACAGTGTATTATAAAATATTACACACACACAGTAAAAATAGATACATAAATACAATTATTTGGGAAGTTCTCACTAGATTTTTGACTATTATTTTACTAATCTACTTTAATTACATTTCTTTCATTTCTTTTCATTTATTCAATTACAGATATTGATGAGTTTCATTAAAGCCACAGTATGTAACTTTTAAGACAAAAAATTATGAATAAAAGGTACATTGTTTCCATTTTGGTTGTACTTGAAATGTTCCTGTAATCTTCCACAATATGGCATATGTCTAGCTCTATGGAGAATGTTCCAAAGTGTGGTTTTAACTTTCAAGCATGTAATCACGCATTTGATTTTCCACATCCAGGAAGTTACATACTGTATCTTTAAACTGACAAACCACAAAAACAAAATGTTTTAAACCCTGCAAGGCATGAAACAAGTCATGGAATCTCTCCCAAAAAAGGTCGACTGCTCAAATCAGCCATTCCATAATATTCATTCCCTAAGGAGCTCTACAGGGACCACCCACTTACATTTCTCATTTATTTTCCCATAGCCTTTAAGAAAAATAATATTAAAGGTCTTTTGTTATGCCAAATTGACTCTTGTGAGCTTTAAGACATTTTATAATGTTACCTCATCAAAACATACCCGGAGTTCTGTTTTGTTTCATTCACACATGTTCGAGACTTTCTACATCTTCAAAGCTCAAAATGCTCTACTCCACCTTGTGATGTCATGAAGTGGTAGTTTTCAAGTTAACAGTTACAGTTTGTTTAGTAGACGTTGGCAATTCCAGGTCTGAAATTATCCAAATGATTCCAGTGAAGATGTATGGAGTTTAAAAACACAGTGGAGCACTTCCTGTATTACCACATGACATCACAAGGTGGAGAGGGGTGTTTTCTGAGAAGGACTCTACTTAAAAATGCAAGGCTTGTGAGTTAAACATGTGTGAATGAAACAAAACAGTAGATCAGAAATCAGGACCTAGAATTTGATTGAACACCTGTTTCTGAAACTTTAGGGAGCGCTAAGTTATAAAGCATTTTGCATTGTTTTTAAATGTGCTTTTTTGGAATTAAAGGTGCATTGTGTAACTTTTCTGGTGGAGGGTCGTCAAATGCTTTTCACCTTGGAGATGTTATTACTTCATCTGGAACGTTTGACAGTATGGAATTAAACTTTTCTATTTTCATTGTGACCTAACTAGACCAAGTTACAGGTCAGGGCTGTGGAGAGGCGACACCGCTCACAGTCAGAATGTCTGTTTTTCTAGGTATTTTTTGAAACTACATGTAGTTAAATAAATGTAAGGTAGAGCTGTTTAATGTCATACTGTGGAACATTCCTGGCAGAGCAATGACGTATCCATAGAAACAAGCAGGTGACAGACCCCAACCAAAAAAGCTATAGTTCACCTTTAAAACAGCCGTGTTATTGATATTAGTTAGCACATGCCTGGTTAGTCTCCATGATCCATTTGTCTATGGGACAAATGAATGGAAATTGTACTTCCTGAACCAGAGAGGGCAGTCACTGTGGAGCTCTATAATGCAATGAAAGTATAAAAGATTAAAATGTTACTTACAGTTTAGAATGCACAATAGCAACAGGTGGAGGATCAGTGGAGCCATCATATTTAGAAATGAGATGAAATGATTCACTCTTGAGATTCTCGTCAAACTTTCTTGGTCAACTTCCTGCGTCTGTAACATCCCCTTCATATGTGTGTTTGTGCGTAAAAAAACAGAAGAATTTGTTTCGTCATGAACAAAGTACACTGTGTAACTTTTTGGTTGAGGGTCCCTCACCTTCTTGTTGCTATGACTCTGTCTGGAATGTTCCACAATATGACATTAAACAGCTCCACTTTACATTTACTCAATTACAGGTGTTTTTATAGCTCAAAAATACCTAGAAATACAGACATTCTGACTCCACACGTCTGACCTGTAACCTGGTCCAAGTTACACAATGTACCTTTACTGTAAATGTGCATTGCAGTGTTTGTGGAGGAAATTATGGGACTTAAAAAACTGCAAAAAAAAATTGGTAGTTTCAATTCCTTGCAGTCCTAGGATCTTGGTCTGGACCGGAGAACATAACTAGGGTTTGCCTTTATCCGTGTTTTTGATCATATTTATGAATTTCATTCACATGTTTTCTGCCTGTTGTTAATCGCTATGGAAACTGACCCTATTTCTGGGCGTGGACAAGCAAATAATATATTTGAATAACTTAATAGCAATAGTTTGGAAGAAACTGGATTAAACTGGAACTAACCACTTCAAAAACATACTAACAGAAATTCATGTGCATATTTACTGCAGTGGTGGAATGTAAAGTACTAAAATATTGTACATAAGTATACATTTTAGGTGTCTGTGCTTTACTTGAGTAGATTTTAAAGTGGATACTTTGTTCTTTTACTTCATTACATTTGAGAGCAGGCATCTGTACTTTCTACACCATTACATTTTTGAACGGGACTGAAAAGTAAAAGTATTTTTTTATTACCTGCTAAAAAGCTGAGGTGTTATTTTTAACATGTTCAATATACAAAGAAAACAACTAGAAAAAAATCAGTTGTTTCTACTGAACAAAATTAAATATCAATAAATTTGATCAACAAACTCAACATACTTTTACCTTTTACTCTTTAAGTACATAAAAAAATAATTAAACAGGTACTTTCATACTTTGACTTAAGTAGATTTTTTTTCTTTTTTTTCAGACTTTTACTTAACAATATCAAGTACTTCTTCCACCACTGATTTCTAGTGTACTGTTATTGACAGCCCAGAGTTTCCCTTTCAATCCCTCTGAAACCTGCCATTACGACTGTACAGCAGCAGATGGCGCCATTGTTACACTTAACGTCAGCCTCTCAGTCCATTACTCAAAAAGAATAGTCAGGTGAAGGGTCCATATCATGTGACAATGATTCATTTAAAGCATTGTCACGCTTTGAACTGGAAAATTCCACTGTAAAAATAGTCACAACTAAAAATATCTGGTACACCTTTACATTATTTAGTATTTATGTTTACGTATGAGATCTTATGTACTTTCAATGAAATACAGTTTTATCTATTAGTTCAAGAGCAATTTTCTCCATCAAATTATTTAGCTTTAAAATAAATTGTGAAATCCCATCAGGAACATATAGGCATTTGACAAAAAAACTAAACTTCCATCATCTAGTATATTAAAAGATTCTGATTCCTATACCACAATAATAATAACAAACACTCATTCACTAGACAGTAGAATGTGATTTTCTACATTAAAAGTGTATTGTGTAACTTGCTCAAATAAGTTTCTAGTTTCAGTTCTAGCTTTAGTACCAATTAGTATCTGATTCGATACTTTTGACCTCTGTTACTTCCCAGAGAAACATGAAGAACTGTTGCAAGTTTGGACTTGTACTTTATAATCACTAGTAAGAAGTCACAAAAAGAAATAAAGAGATAAATTAAAGTTACAATGTTTTATTTTTGACTCAGAATTCTAGAAAACTAAACAGACAGGCGTTATTTTAAATCCAGATCTATGTTACAAAAATATCTCGTTTCACAGTTTAAATGAGTCCATAGTAACGCAGACAGCAGCAGACAGCAGCTAGCACAGACTTCAAAATAGAGGCTATATGTTTGTATGTATTTACATTAGAAACAGTTCACATTCTCCATGGGCCATTATTGCACCATAACCTCAGCTGGTTTCATTATTAACAGAAATGCATTCAACTATCTCATACAATGCACTGCAAAAACAAAATGAGGTAAAATAACTTGAATTCATGTTAGAAAAAAATAGGATTGAGCTTTAAATTTGAGTTTAAAAGCCCTGTACCCAATTTTTACCCCAATGTATTTCAGCAAAATACCCCAGTACAGATATTAGGACTTGTAGTTGATGTCATCGATGTTACCTGAGGGTGTGATGCTAACTAGAGGCTCTGCTCTGTTTGAAGCTCTGTTTAATCTGAGCTTTATTTGAATGTAATGACCAGAAACAACTGACTTAGTTGGAACTAGAAGAGGTATTTTTTCTTAAGTTTTCAGGTCTAACTTATTTGAAATCTTTGCTAATCTATGCATTGTGTCTCCAAGGTTTGAACATTCTACCATAGAAATACATGTAGAACACCCACAGTATGATGGAAAGTATTAAAATTGTTTCAGCAGCTCTTGAGGTCAAAATAAGTCCGCTGTGTACGGTCTGCACGTACCGTATTTTTCAGACTATAAGTCGCACTTTTTTCCATGGTTTGGATAATGTACCACTGTCACTTCGCTCTACTACGCATGTCTCCTGCAGAAAGAGCCGCTGTCCCGCAGCAAGTAGTGAAATATGCAGCTGAAAACAGTAATCGCACAGCAGAAAGAAAGTTTGGAGTGAGCGAGAAACTTGTGAGGGACTGGCAGAAAGTGAGGATGGAGAACACAGCTTCACGGTAACAGGGAGGGTGCACCATGCAACTTTCCTGGAAGTCATTGGATGGATCGACAAAGTATGGACTTCAATGACAACCGAAACCATCCTGTCGGGCTTCAGAAAGGCCGGAATAATTCTAACTGGAACTGATGCAGAGTCTGATAACAGCTACACAGAAGAGGAAGAGGAGCTCGATTTACCTCCGGAGGTCACCGAGTTGCTTAGAAGTGACACCAACGATGAAGAATTCAATGGATTTAGTGATTTGGAGTGAGATGGAGAGTTTGGTAAACTTGTTCTGTTGTTTATGTTATATTTATCTGAAGAACTGTTCATATGTGACGTTAACAGTCTGTTGTTCTCTCTTCTATTGTTATTACTATAATTTGTCTTTCAAGATGAGATGTCCGTTTCTGGTCTCTGATTTTATAAAATAAATTTCTCCCAAAAAGTGCGACTTATTGTCCGGTGCGACTTATATATGTTTTCTTCTTCATTGTGCATTTTTGGCTGGTGAGACTTATACTCCAGACTTATAGTCCGAAAATAATAATAATAAGCATTTTTTGGCTAGAAAAAGGGGAGTGTGCTGTTAGCATGCTAGTTGTTGTTACCACATTACCGAGTTGTGAGTTGTGAAAAGTGCTTATAAACTCATTAGAGTGGATAATTAGGATACTCAGAATAACTTTGGACCACTGCAACCGTTTAAAATGAACTAGTTCTGTTTTTCACATTATTAAAACAGTAAAAATCAGGTACAGCGCCTTTAAAATACCCAGGCCCGATTTAACACTCTGAATTCAACTAATTTTACCTCATGTAGACGTGTATTTTTGTAGTGCAGCCTGAAGTTCAAGTTTAACCGTTTTCATTCAGTTCTTCAGGTCCTCTGTTCCTGTCTTTGGGCAACGTTCCGTACATTCAACTTTTCAGTGCCTCCTCCTTTTCAGCCACGACATCCTCAAACTCAGCTCCAGGACAGGGCCTACAGACATCTTTACACACAACAGGAAAAACAGGTAGAGGATTCTTGTGTTTGTTAAATAATATATGGACCACTCACATGCAGGAGCACACGATCTTTGCTGCAATGACAAAACAGCATGAAAATAATTTAAAATCAAGCAAAGATCCAATGAAATGATGTGAGAAACCAGGGCTGAACAATGTGGGTCAGAATGAAACAGGGTATAGTGTATTTTAAGAGTTAGGTCGCCATGTTCTGATGTTTTTTTTAGAGTAACGGGCATAATATTAAGAACCGGACCCCAAAACAAACTTACACTTAAAATCAGAGTTAAATAAGCAAACGTATTCCAAAATAAATACAGATTGGGGGCTATATTGAAGGACCACAACATTCAAAGCCTGATATTTAAATAAAAACAGATAAAACAGGACACGTCTAATGATTGCACAGTCTTAAAGGTGCACTATGCAACTTTTTGATTGTTTATGGATGTCATTGCTCTGTCTGGAATGTTCCACAGTATGGCATTAAACAGCTCTACCTAACATGTATAAAATTTCAGGTGGTTTTATAGCTCAAAACTATCTAGAAAAACAAAAAAAAGGCATTCTGACTCTTGCGTCTCCACAGAGTTGACCTGTAACTTTTTCTGGTTTGGTCTCAATGAAGATAGAAAGATTTAATGCCATACTGTGAAACATTCCAGACAAAGCAATAACTTATCCCTCCACCAGAAAAGTTACACAATATACATATAAATAGGGTTAAATGATCACATATGTTCTGTAATGTGGGGCTCGATCACACCATCAGAAACTGTGCTTTGGGTTAAACTTGGGCTGTTCTGACACCAACACTTTTTGGGATTTGAAAAGATGCCACACAATTTTATGTATTGCTATAATTAAATTTATACATGGGATTGCAAATGCTACCACTAACTAGCGCTGAAAGATTTGGGAAAGATATAAAATTTCTGGTACTATAAAAATTGCAGCTAAAATAAATTTTACTTAATATTTTACTCGGGCTTCTCTGTTGTTGATACAGTACTTGCTATTGGCTGCCTCTGTAAGCTCTTGTATTTAACAAAATGGTGCCGAAACAACCCAGTTTTACTTTGGGGAGGTTTGACGTGCTACATTCCACTCTCCTGGCTCATAGCTCAGCGTCTTTATGTCAAAGTCTTTTATCTTATAAGGCAGAAAACGTCTCCACAGCTGTACATGGTAAAAGAACTGTCATATTTACACACGCAGTCAAAAACTGCATTCAAAACACTTTTACAGTACATACAGTGCATTCCCACCGTGTTCAGGTGTGTTTGAAAAGAATGTAACAAAATCTGAGGTTAAAACTATATCAGTTGGAGGTCAACAGTGGACAGGGCCTGTGCTTCTGGAAGTAAAAATCCCATTCTCTTAAACCACAGAGGCTGAGCAGCTGTGGGCCAATGACCATTGCACAGTTATTAAAATATAAGTTTCAGATGAGTATAAAAAATAACAGTATGTTTTATAGTATGGAGTTACATAGCCGTTTAGCCTCAAACTTTAAACTCCCCCAGAAGTGCCTGCCCCCTGTTGATCATAATGAGGTACTGCAGAGACATAAAAACATGATGTTGAATAAATAGTTTTGTATTCATAGTATAAACACTGGAGTGGGAATGCCTCAGGTCCTCAGTAAAGTGCAGAGTGGAAGGGGGCGTGTCCATCACAGGCTGCTGGGCTGGATCTGAGTGGAAGGAGCTTGCACAGGAGGGGCCTGTGTGAGGGGACCAGTCTCACAGTCTTTGGGACACTCGTCCCCTCCGCGCGCGTACATCAGCACCAGCGTTACCGTGGCGAAGGTGGCGGCGTTGACAGGGAATGCTCTGAGCAGCGTGGAGGTGAGTCCTCGTGTGAACACCATGTAGCCCTCCCTCTGCACGCTCTGACGCACACAGTCTGCGATGCTGCTGTAGCGGTTCACCCCGCCAACGCCGTCTGCCTGCAGCCGCGACTTGATCACGTCCACCGGGTAAGTGGAGAGCCAGGAGGCGATGCCCGCCATGCCTCCTGCGAACAGCAGCTTTGGGATCATGTAGGGGTCCTCGGGCTCACAGCCTAACCCCCGCGTCAGCACGTCGTAGGCCCAGAAGTACACACCAAACCCGGGCGTCTCACGGAGCATAGTGGTCACCATGCCACGGTTCACACCTCTCAGGCCCTCGCGCTGGTAGATCCTGGTCAGACAGTCCAGGGAGTTCTTGTACAGCTTCTTTGTGGAGGACTTCTTCATCCCAGTGCCCTGCATCTGCATGCGCGTCTTGGCCAGCTCCATGGGGCAGCAGATCACGCACTGTATGGCACCCGCAGCAGCTCCAGCCAAGAACTGGTTAGTGGGCGTGTCCTGCCCCAGCAGCCGCATGGCGTTGCCCTGGACGCCAAACACAATGGCGTTGATGAACGTGAGGCCCATCATGGGAGATCCAATGCCTTTGTACAGGCCAAAGACCTGCAGACAGGTGCAGACAGGTGTATTAGACATATATCTGTCTGTTAAGTCAGATTTAGAGTCAGCTCATAGATTCAGTATTGTCTCACTTAAACGTCCAGTCTGACACCTTAAAAAATGTTTGTAGAGCGTTTAGTTTTATTGCTGGAGCCTAGTGACCTCTGACCTCAGTCACAACAGTAACTCTACTCCTGAACTCACTGACACCGGAGAGAGGGAGAAGGGAGACAGGTAGGGGTCAGTAAGTGAAAGAAAGGTGAGGTGTAAGGGTGAGAGAGAGGGAGAGAAGCAAGTGAAAGTAAATTATTTGGCTAGTATTTTACAAGGCTAAATTTTGGCAGCACCTTCATTTTATGGCGTATTTGGTGACAGACTTTTTTTTTTTGCTGATAGTTGTATTAACTGTTTAGATTATTACAATAAAATTACAAAACTGTTATGATTGACAATATTTTTAAAAAAATGCACAAAAACAAGAACTGACATATTATGTATTTTAGTTTTCTTAATCCTGTTTTGTATTGTAATATGGAGTCACTGTGTCAGAGTCATTTCCCTGGATCAGTGAATCCCTGGCCTCGTGTAGTTTCCCCATTAGGAAACAGCTGAATGTAAACACAGTGAAGTGGTCACGACAAAGCTCTGACCTTAATCCTCAGGTATTTTTACAGTAGCCACAGGAGACCACAGAGTCTCACACAGAGAGGATACAACTGTACTGCATTAGCCAAGGTGGACAAATCCTGGACATGGCTCGTTCAGACCATGGACTGTATAAATGGACATAGCTAGCTCACTAGCCTCCCAAATAGGAAGTGAGCATGGGTGAGATTTGGCTCCATCAACTCTGATTTGTTCAAAAACCATCCCCCCTCTCTCTGTAACAGCTGCTGTCAGGTTCGTCATTTTGGTCTCAAAATGTTTCACCCACTCTACATGATCCTGGTGTTTTCATTTTGCATGAATCAAGATTGATGGACATTAACAACAGACCAACCAGATGCTTTCTTTTACTGAGGTGCAGTTACTGTTAGAAACAGGCTTTACTGACAGCTAAGGGAAAGAGCATGTACCTTCAACAGCCTTGGTCCCGATTGGCTCTTTAGTTGCTATGATACACACACACTCTCGGATTTCCAAATATGGATCTTGGCTCCAAAATTGCTGCTATAACTGCTTGCCTTCATTGGCTTCATTTGACTGGAGCCGAACACTATGGGTGATGTCACACTCCTTAGTCCACTTCTTTCTACAGTCTATGGTAAAGAGGTTCGTTCTTTTTTCCACTACACTTACCTTGTGTGAGATATTTGGCGATTGATACAGTTAAACAACATTTAGAAAATACTGTGTCTTGCAAAATATTTGTATACATTTTTCCTGCGAAGTAATAAAGTCTTTAAGTATTTAAGTCTTTTGGGGCATCAGATGTTGAGTCATAACCCATGTTCTTGAAGCTGTGTAAATGTGTACGTACTGACTCCTGGTGGATGATGGACTGGAAGCAGTGGAAGGTCCCTCGATACAGAGGTCTGTCCACACTCTGCACCTGCAGACGCACCTGGAACATGGAATGGGCATTAGGTTATTGAAACGACACAAACACAAAAGGTTCTGGCATTAAAGAAGCACTGTGGAACTTTTTCAAAGAAGTCAATCTGCCACATGCTTCTCTCTATGACAATGTTATGAATTTGCCTGAAATTTTCAACAGCTATAAAGTTTCTGTAAAGTAGGACTTCATCAATTAACAACTTTATTGTTCATGTCAGCAACAGTCAATAGAGATGTAAAGATATGCATCTCACGGTACGATATTTATTGCGATATTTTGAAGAGGCTTATATAATTGTAGATAGGACACTTTTAAAATACCTTGACAAGATTTTGGTGAGAATTATTTCCGTCATAATCCCAAAAATTCAAGTAAATAACATATTTCTTCATGTTTTCTGCACTGAAATGAATCATGGGATATGTAGTTCCCTATGTTTATAAGATGTTGTCTATAAAATAATGCATTTAAGCAAAGGAACTTGTGATTCGATACATTGTGACAGCCCACGATATTATTGTGAGACTTCTGACGATACAAATCACGATATTCGGTTATTGTTACATCCCTAACAGTCAACCTTGTGATGCTAACTGAAGGCACTGCTTTGTCTGAAGCTCTGTTACTCAAAATTTTTACTTTAATCTGATCTTTAATTTGACCCAATCTGACTATGAAGAACTGATTTAGCTGTAATGACAAGAGGTGAGCTCATTTGTGCTGTCACTCTCCAAGTCACTCTAAATTAACATTACAGCCACACGCCAGCTTGCATAGGCCAACAGAAAATGTGTTATTTAAATCCATTTTACACATCTTAAATTTTCAGATTATCTTAAAACTTTTTAGGCAATGTCAGCTAATGTTTTTAAGTATGTCACCATGGTAACTCCTAAACATTCCACCATACACCTACATGTAGAACACACCCAGCATGATGTCATTGCAAAGTATCAATGAAGCTTTCACACATCTAACATCCAGCATGTTCTGAAATGGACGGGATGATGCTCTTTTAGTTTAATAGCTCATTGTCCAGTGTTGTGTTAACTGCAATGCTCCTATACATTTAATTTTTTTATTTTTTTATTTTGGATTCTTTGCAGCATTACAAAACAAAACCACAACATGACAGGAAGGGTTCAAGCCGAAGCAAAGGTACCGACGCATGAACAACAAGTTTGCATTTACAGCTTCACTCACTGTACATATAAGAGACAAAATATAAATTAAAACAAACTAAATTCAATGCTTACTTCATTAACGCCAGAGCTGGATATCTTTCAAAACCTAACACTTTATACTATTTTTAAAAGGCTTCTATAGTGTTGGACTGTTTAAAGTCATAACTCCGTTTGTTCCACAAACTAACCCCTCTACCAGGAACACAAGCACTTTCTTCCTAGTTCCTTCCTAGTATCTTCATTTAAAAAAAAATGTTTTCGTTCATGGTCATACAAACTAATAATGTTAACAAAGGCACAAAAATGTATCGTTTATGATCGTGCAAAATAAACCACAGTGAAAATGGAAGAATGTAAGGATTTTTTGTTTTTCATTTATAATCATACTAACTAATATAATAATAATTATTATAATTAATAATATTATTAATAATTATTATTAGCTCCTAAATTGAACATTATAAACTTGATTTATAATTTATAATTTATCTTATTTATAATTACATGATTTTAAAAAGTTTTTACCTTCACTGTGTCGAAAGGATGCCCAACCAGGACTCCAGCAGCGCCTGAAAAGAGAAAATGTGCTTTTAGAAATAATATTTAGAAATAAATAATATTCAGTCCAAAGTTATTTGTTATTTTATGTAACACAACAAAACAATACAATTCATAACCAATCAAACATTTTGTAATCAGGATGTTTGTATTTCCCCATTGTGGTTCAAATAAAGCTTATCTTATCTTATATTCTCTTATCTCGCCTCATCCTTAATTATGAAAGAACGTGCAGATACAATAAACATAAACAGCAAACGCATTCAAAAATGTGCTTAGATAACACATTTTTATAAGATATTAAAACCGCTGAGGGGTGGGGGGAGGGTAAACAAGCCGCTAATCCCTCTACAATCTGTCACATGACCAGTTTGTAAGAGACGATCCAATCAGGACATGGCTCGGGCTGTAAACTAGGAAGCGAACGGACACAAGTGTTCACTGACCTCACTGAACTCACATTACCTAAGAGCAATGGACAGAGCCAAAAATGAGACTAAAGTAAAGAAACTGTGACCTAAATGTAGAAGTCAAATGTGTATTTAAATAATGAACTAAAGTGAGAAATGCATGATGTAATAAATACTACCCTAGATAAAGTACATAGTAACAGTCTGGACATCTGTTTAATACAATCAATGTTTAGTTAAACCATACTGTGTAAAATTGTAAATAAGAGGTTTATGTACAAAAAAAATAACGGCTGCTCAATATGTAAAAATAAGAATCATATTTGGCTTCTATATGATGTGGACATTAACCTGTGGAGAAAAAGTATCAGTATATTTTATCATAAATGTTTTGAGACACTACCTGTTTTTAACCCAGTGCAGATTAGAAAAACTGGAATTGAACACAGTAAAAATGAAATCACAGCCCTACAATAAATACTAGGGGTAACAATTAACCAAAATATTGTGATATCATATCATCAAAGTTCTCCCAATAATATTGTGGACCATCATAATATATCGAATTACAAGTCTCTTTGCTTAAATTAAGAGCTATGGTGCAGCAATACCTCAAAAAAGACAGAGGGAACTACATAGACCATGATCCTTTGCTCCATTTCAGTGCAGACTACAAGAAGAAATAACAGTTCTAAGCACTTTTAAGTCTTAGTTCTTTTTCAAGATTAAGTCTTATCAAGGCATTTTAAAAGAAAAAAGTAGCATATTAACAGTTTTGTTAGGCTCCACCAGATATCGCAATAACTATCGTACCGTGAGATGTATATTGTGAAAAGCGAGAGATTTGAATATTGTTACATCCCTAATTGTGAGCCTCTCCACCATGTCCTGAGCTTTCCCACGATATCACAATAAATATCATCTGTGAGGTTCATACCGTGATGATATCCCCCCCTAACAAATACAAACATTTTAAATGAAAATGCAGTTTATTTTACTTTTACATGGTTATCTGTAAAAGTAAGAAAGTTTTAAAACTCCCATCAATAACTAGACTGATTCATCAGCCGGTTTTACTTCATTTCACTTCGTACAAACTGTCTGACCTCGCAGCCTTAGATTTCGTTCATTAGACGGTAGGCGGGTACTTTTTTTACTTAACCAATTGCTGCTATTTGGTCATGATGTATGTAATGCGCCGCTAACAGGACTAACTAGTATATTAAGATATTCCCAAATCCCGTAGGAAGAAGGGCAATAACGTCTTTCCCCTTGATGAAATTCACCCAACATTCTCTTTGTTCTGGTTTTAATTCTTCGATCTCGGGAATCGTTGCCAACACTGAATATATGGCTCTTCACTGATTGGCTGGTGCCCGGACTTGCACTTCCAGGATTTTTGCAAACCGTTTATTGAATTTTGATTTCTGACCTAGTCACTGGAGAGAAATGAAATTGAGCGAAGGCACTAGGTGGCGCCAGCCTGGCTAGTCACTAACAAGGTAAAAAAAAAAACAGCGCAGAAAAAGTAAAGCACGATTCTCCATCTCTACAAAATACAGACCATAATAAAATACCTTGAAAAACATGCATTCTTACTATGAGTAGGTGTAGGTTTACCTCGCTATAGCTGCTCGTATATAGACATAGACATGTTTAATGCCATACAATGAACATTCTAGGTAAAGCAACAACATAGACGAGCAGGTGACAGCGCCTCCACCAAAAAAATTACATAAACTTACATAAAGATTTAAAACAAGCCACAAAATCACACTCAGATTTCCATTATAAACCCAGACAAATCATCTTCCGGTTTCTGTGTGGCATAACCTGCTCGTCACCATGAAGACATACTGGTAGATTTCCTGCATGCCATAGAGTGGAACATTCCAGTCAAAGCAATAACATCCCCATGAAGAGAAACAGGTGACAGAAAAGTTGCATAATGCACCTTTAAACTACACAGCAACATCACAGACACATTTTTTTAAAATAAACTCATCTTAGTTTAGTTTTGACAGTGTCTTCCTGGTTGGTTTTGACAGTTCATTTCAGTTTTCTGTCACTGTTCTTACTGTTCTCTTGTTAGTGTTTTTGCGTATGTCCTTTCTCGGCTCATAAATTTGAAGGCTCATCTCTGCTGTCAAGACTGCGGGAGGCCTGGGATTGGTGGAGCGAGGGGTGTGTACGAATCATGCGCTAATGCTAAAGCTACACAACATGTCCAGAATGGAAACATCACATCTCTGGTTTCACCGTGTTTATAAAGGTCGGGCACACTCATTAGCAGCACTGTTTATATAAGTATTACACGTGCACTGAGTCACTTTTCTGGTGGGGGGTCCATCACCTGCTTGTTTCTATGGATATGGAGTATATTGCTCTGCCTGGAATGTTCCACAGTATGGCATTAAACAGCTCTACTTTACATTTATTCAATTACAGGTAGTTTTGTAGCTCAAAAATACCTAGAAAAACAGATATTTTGACTGAGAGCGGGGCTGCCTCTCCATAGATCTGACCTGTAAATTAGTCTGGTTTGGTCTCCATGAAGATAGAAAGGTTTAATGCCATAGTGTGAAACATTTCACACAAAGCAATAACATCTCCACGGAGAACAGCACCAGAAAATTTACATAATGCACCTTTAATGATGCTATTAATTGTGTTTTTAATCGTTGAAAAATACTATGGCTGAAGGATATTTCAAAAAACTGTATCACTTTTTTTTCTTGTGTGTGTAGACAATAACGTGAAGGACTACTATGTAACTTTTCTGGAGGAGGTTTTGCTATCTGCTTTTCTCCATGGCGATGTTATTGCTTTGCCTGAAATACTGCACTGTGGTGTTACATTTATTACATTTTTGGTGTTTTTATTGCTCAAATATACATTGGAAAAACTCTGCAGAGCCTTACTTGTCTCATCTCTGACTTGTAGCATTTTCTGATTTCGTCACCTGGTTGTCGTCACGGAGACAGAGATGTTTAATGCCGTACAGTAAAACATTGGAGACAAGCAGGCAGGGGCCCCTCTACCAGAAAAAGTTACATTGCGCACCTTTAACCTCAATTTTGTTTTTTGGTATTTACAACGGATATAACACTAAAACTAGTATCGAAACTCGAGACTCATTTTAGAAGATATCAGAACTAAAAAAAGTCACACTCACAGGACAGAAATGAACCTTTCCTGAAAAGCTTTAGAATGATCTTGAGCTCAGAACAAATATAAGAACACATAGATTAGTATATACAACCCATGGACCATTATTGAACTGAGGGACTACACAGATATAAGACCACATGGAAGTACTACCATTTAATGTTGAAAATCACATTCAGTTGTGTTGTCAGTTCTAAATGGAGTGTTTTCTGTTTTGTTTTTTTCATCGTGGTATCAGAATCTGTAAGGAGTATCAAGTCTGTTTCTTAGTATTGAAATTTTAGCATCATGGCAACACTCATTTAGAGTGAGTGACTGTGTGACTGTGTGACTCTATGACGGAATAAGGACATGACAAGGACAGTGATTTGTTCATCTCATACCAGAAACGATTGCATCACTTTGATTTGGCAATCCTGGGTGTTTTGATTTTGCCACAGACAAACTAACAAGCTGGAAAACTGTAAGCTATTGTTTATCCCCATTACATCAGAAATTCATTCAATTTAATTAATGGGTCAGTCCAAGTTGAGTCCACTTTTCTTGACACTTGTTTGCAATGCATTTTTCAGGTCATGGCTTGGTCCTGGTTTCATAGAACTATAATAAAATCTTAAATTAATATGTTTATATTATGGATCCATGACTGGTTTACAACTCAAAAACAATACGCTTTAATCCCGGTCCTGGGCTGATCAAAATGTTTACTATAAAACTACTAATGCTGTTTTATTACATTGTCAAAATCACCCCAAAGCAGCCACCCAGAAAATGCACCTCATCCCAATGACTGAATAATCCATAAATAATAATACAAAAATAGAATAATTCCATCTTTTTGCATAATAGTCAATAAATCAGGGTGACCAGATGTCCCTATTTAACCGGGACAGTCCCAGTTTTGAGCCTTGTATCCTCTGTCCCAGCAGATTTATCCAAAACCAGTGATTTGTCCCAGTTTTATACAAGAAAAGTCCCAAGTGTCCCTATTTTTGATCAAGTTGATCTAAACCAGGACTAAAGTAAGATTAAACCAGGACTACATCAACTCTAAAACAGGACTATCACAATTTTTGACTAATCTGATCCCTGCCAACAGTAAAAACGAGCATAAATTGTCATTTGTTTTGTCAAAATACAGAAATTCGTGTTTGCAAATGACCATGAAGCAAACAGAAGTCCCTCAGATCATGACGAACAATGTTAAACGGTCTTTTCATCATTTTATCTATATCAACTATACCAACCCAGGTGTGTCCCAGTTTAGAATGTTGAAAATCTGGTCACCCTACAGTAAATTGGTTTCTTATGTTTACTTATTTGGTTTGGCTGTGCCGCGTGGTGGGGAATTAAACAAAGCAGGGACGCAGTAATCATGTGCTAGAATTGCATCACTTTTTAATGAGCAATTCTGGAGTGTTTAGGTTTCAGATTTACGCGATCAAATACGTCAAATCACTCGAATCAGTACACATCTCTATGACACAATAAATATAACAAATATGTAGCATGCTTATTTCACTTTATGTCATTTCAATTTGGCTTATTTAATTCATCAAACTCACCTCCAATGCAACCAGCCAGAAAATCCATCCTCCTCTTCTCGGCAGCGCTGTTTCAATAGATAACTAAAAGGTACACTGTCGCTATAAACCTTATAAAATGATTGATAAGAGCCGAGAAAAAGCGGACACGTCTCGAAAGCTGTCTGTTTAATAATCTCGTGAACTTAATGACACTGTAACCTAGCGACTATTACACTACTGCGCTAGCACCTGCTAAAAGCTATGAGAGAAACGCGTAAAAACTCAATCAAAACTGTCCTCTCGTTGTTTTTTAATGTTGTGCTGCAAAAGTTAAAATGATCAAATATGATAGAAGGTCCACACGCCTGGAGAAGCCCGCTGTCTGGTGATTGTCGATCCCCTTCCCTCTGTCTGTGCCAAGGAGGTTTATTTCTGTAGCAGACAAGCTAGCGTGCGCGCAGGACACACACATATGACTCTAGAGGGGCACCTGACACACCGACGAGGGGACAGCGGTCGCCATCTTGTGACTGTTAAAAACGACTCTTTCTTATATTTTCGTCAAAGGATTGGCAGAAATTAAGATAGAAATTGTAATATAGTGAAAGTTTTGTTTTGAAATGCGAAAATTGTATGCTCAAATGTACCAATTGACAATACCATAATGCTGCAGTGATCTCAGTTTTATAATTTTCATTCATTTCATATTATTTATAAGTCACAGAGGCTTAGTGCTAATTTTGCAGCCTCATAGCTTTACTCTGCAGGCACAGTGTTGTGATACATTTTGTCTGTTGTTAAATGTGTTATTATTTATCTTGATTGCAGGTTCCTACTCTTCTGCTGTCCTTGAACTTTAAAGAGAGATACTTGATTGATGCCAAGGGAAATTTAGGTTTTGCTGCACATGTCAGTGGCCTTTATGTCTAAGTCAATGGTCTCAGTGCAGTTTAATTGGACAGGTCAGTTAGGGTCAGAAGTGGAAGAGGAAAAGTGTCCCTCCTCTGTGTCCTGCAGCATCGCAGCAGCCTCCAGGGTGAACCAGGTGAACACAACACAAAGGCCTCAGTCTTACTCCACTCTGGTGTTTCAGTTGATGACGAAATGGTTTATTCCCTCAACGTGTTTCCTCTGGAAGATCTTCTGCCACATTTGCTGCCACATATGGTTTGCATACATTGTACACTGTAATTTCCCCATTGTTGGACAAACTCATGTTTAGCTTACAGTATTTTTATGATCTGATCTGAGAAGGCACAGCAAATACAGTGGTTTCTTGTTCAGTTGTTTTGTTTTGACCAATCATAACAGTTTATCTGCATTGATGCAAGACTTAACCAAAGCGTGACACTGAAGAGGCCCAGTTCATAGGTCGACATAAGTCCCTTCTTTCACAACAAACACTAGTTCCCCACGCCCCCTTGCTGTACTTTGACATCCACTTCACTTGGTGTTCAGGACACTGGTTAGTACTCTTAACTCTCAGAGAGGAGGTTCTGGGTTTGATTACTTGATCAGATGAAGTCTTTGTGGTGTCTTGCATATTCTCTCCATGCCTGAAGAGAATTCTTTGAGGTTTCCCCCATCTTCAACAGACCTGCAGTATCTCTTAGTGATGGCGCACATGGTTCTACCATCCACTGTTTTTCATTATTCAACTTCTGAATATGGTGAAAAAATAAAATGCTGATATCTCAGTTCTGTTTATAATCATCAATTAAACAATACAAAAACTCAACCTAAAAAAAACAAAAACAACTAAAAAAAGAAACATTTTACAGTCTACATTAATATGAACAGACCGTACAGTCAAAATATGGCCCTGGGACATGTGCCCTCTAGTGTGTTAACGACCCGGTCCCAGGACTTACCGGCGTAGAGGGAGGATTTCTAGACCAATCCGCACCCAGGATCCACGCCGACACCCCGCACGCACCCCAGCGCTGCCCGTGATTGGCTGCAGAAGAACGGGCTCCCCACGGCACAGTGCGTCACCCGGCCTCGTGATGTTTTGCTTTGTGCTCCTGTCACTGAGGTTAAATAATACAGATCAAATATCAGTCACACTCAATGGGTAAATGCCGAGAGTTGTAGTATATAGACCAGACTACTACTGAATAAACTGAATGTTAAAAGGTCTGTATTATGTTCTATCTATGTTTCTTCATCAAAAATTACCCAAAGTTGTGTTTTGTTTCATTCACACATATTTAAGACACAGACCCTGTATATTTAGGCTGAGTTCTTCTCTCAAACAGAAAACATGAGGTAATACAGGAAGTGCTCCACTGTATTTTTAAACTCCATATACCTTCACAAGAATCATTTGCATAATTCAGACCTGGAATGTATAATAACTAAACTGACCTATACTGAACTAAAGGTAAAAGCTGTAACATGAAAACTACGGGACCTTGAATAGAACCTTTATGGTACCAAAAGTAGCTGTAACATCATGGTGCTACTATAACTTTGCTGTGGAGTGGATGTGGTTTGCCACCTATTTGTCACCACAAAGAGGTTATTACTTTACCTAGAATGTTCCACTGTATGGGCATTTCCACAAAGAAAGGCAGATGACACTACCAGGCCCAGTTACAGGCCAGATGGGTGGAAACTGAGGCAACCAAGTATTTTAGAGCAATAAAAACACTGTTGCAGTTAAATTAATGTAAAGTCGATAAGCTGATTGCGAAACTGTGGAATGTTTATATGGATCTTATGCATTTAGACTATATACAAATGCAGGTAGGGAGAAAATGTGTGCATGCAATTGAAATCAAGACAGGGATAATACAGTATTAAGTGTTAAAAATTTAAATTAAGGGTAAAAGTATAGGCTACAAAATTATGAATATGCCTACATATAAAAAATCACCAGGTTAACAGGATGGAAAAATAAATAAATAAATACATAAATAAAAATAAGCCATATGTTATGTCCAAACACTAAGCAGAAGGCCTATTATATTAGATTTTGACTTATACAAACTTTATTGATCCACAAGGGAACTTCTTTGTTATTTTCTCTCTTGTTATTACAAAATGGCTATACTAGGAATATGTCTGTTTGACAAAAGACGCATGTAAATTAAAGTATTATCAATATGGATCTTAAATTTCTCATGTTTTACGTGTGAACATATTTCTAAAACAACAATAACATATTTAAATTTATTTATTTTTATTTATTTTTTTTATTTTTTATTTTATTTTTATTTTTATTTTTATTTTTATTTTTATTTTTATTTTTATTTTTATTCAAAGCTTAGAGATCACATGGCACAGGCGCACGTCACCGTCTCCGGTTACGCACACGCCCTCCTCCTCCTCCTCCTTTACGCACGCCTGCAGGCTCAGCTCCTCTCTGCGGGAGGATGGACTGATCACTCCCTTTCCGACCGTCCAGGCTGACAGACCTGCTTAAAACAACATGCATCTGGTCGACTTTGTGTCCGGCTCTTTCGCAGGTAATTGTATATCTCATAATGAACCGTGTTTTCTCGTAATAGCAGCGTTTAGAGTCAGGTTGAGCGCGAACCATGCGTACACTAGCTCGCTGTAACACTCCAGTTACAATGGCACAGAAGCGGGAGGTTGTGCAATAATAGCGCATAGATGCATTTTAGCACTAACACCATCTTAATAACGCTTACATTTACTGTTTTAACATTAACAAACATCGTATTGTGTTTGGTTCTGTTTCGCTTTCGTGATTGTCAATGGAGACACATAAACGAGCAGAGTGTGTGTATTGTACTGTACTGTAAAGACACGTCCTTGAATAAGATTAGCAAAGAACTGAGCTAAACAAAACAGCTGGAAAATATATTTTAGTCAGTGGAGGTGACAGTTTTGTAGCTGCCTGAAAGGGCAAAGACTATGACCCCGTGTGTAGTAAACGACAGTAAGATAGTTTGATGGGAGGTAGACCAGGGCTGCACAATAAAAAAATAAAAAATAAATTAATTAAAAAATCACATATAAACGCTAAATATATGATAACCTTATAATAACCTTATAATAACTGATGTTACAGAAATTTCTTATACAGAATATCATGAAATTGTGATTTGAAATCGTTAAAAAAGGCACTATTTAACTTGTAAATTAAGGGGTGTGAGCCACTGTAATGTAGTTGAAAACTATTAAGAAAGTCAGATGGGCAAATTCTGACTGAAATATTCAATTTGAAACTAAAACTACAAAAGTCACATGCATTTCCCTATGTTTTTGTTCATCACATGATTAAAATGTCCATATTACGCAATAAATGACTCTTGATCTATGTTAGAATACTGTTACTCCTCAGAAACATACCTGGAGTTATGTTTTGTTTCATTCATTAATGTTTGAATAACCATTTAATATTAGCATGTTTACAGCTCCAGAGCTCAGTATGCTCTGTTCCACCTTGTAATGTCATGAAAAGGTGGTTTTCAAGTTAACAGCTACTTGTTATCTTTCGTTCAGTAGAGATTGGCAATTCCAAGTCTGAAATTATCCAAATGCCTCGAGTGACGGTGTATGGAGTTTAAAAACACAGTGGAGCACTTCCTGTGTTACTACATGACATCGCAAGGTGAACCTAAGTGTTTTCTGCTTGACAGAAGAATTGATTTTAAATATGCAGTGTTTTAGTGTTTAACGTGTGAATGAAACAACACACAACTCCAGGTCTGTTTGTGATGCGGAAACAACATTAGAACATAGATCAGAAAATAGTGTCATATGAGCGTGTTAAATTGCAGGGTTAGCAGGTTTTGTATTTGTGTCAATAATTTATACTGAGACACTAATACTAAAACTATTGAAACTAGTTAGCCTGCTATCATAATCTGAGGTAACAAAACTGAAAATATATATGTATACTTAGGGCAAAATTGAACTACGCTTAAATAGTTTTGGTTTGAAAATACAAATTTTGGACAATTTAATTTTTATATATCATAACAACACTGTTTCATGCCAAATACATTTCTAATTTGCTCTAAAGTTGTCAAAAGTATCAAAAATCAGATACTAGTTGATAGTAAAACCAGTATTGAAACTACATACTCAAGATCACATGATCAAATAAAAAAGTCCCATTCACAGGACAGAAGTTAGCCTTTAGTGAATACTTTAGAATGATCTGGAGCTGTATCAGAAGTATAAGAGCACATCTATAGGAATCTCCCACAAATGATGGAACCTACCTGGACAACACAGATATAAGGTCAAATAGTAATATAAAAGAAAGTACACGATTTAATGGTGAAAATAATAATCAGAGTCCTTTTCTATTAAATCTTTTTTTTTTTTGACATTATGACAACACTGCTTCTTATTACATTATATTTGAAACATCACATATTGCAGACATATTCTTCACTGTACATTCATCAAATCAAACCAGTGCATGCATGTTCTGTATTGTACAGCCCTAGTGGGAGGAGTTGCAGGCAGTTTTAGTGGGAATGAGGCAATATATTCTGGAATAATGGTGATTTATCCCCAGAGTTCCCAGAATCCATGCCAAGCTGCATGGAGGTGGACAAAAAAGGTTACCCTAAATTTGTCCACTCTCCGCGCTTAACAAAGTGGTAAGTGGGTGTATAGTTTTATAGCTGAACATGTAACCAAAACACAGAAATGGTCCTTGCGTGAGTTGACATCCTGTTTTTCTCTTCTCAGGAGCTTGTGGAATGGCAGTTGGATATCCTCTTGACACGGTTAAGGTATCTATTTGAATGGCAAACAATTGTTAACAAACAAATCAGCTATTTTGCATTTTAGAGCTGCTCAATTTTCTACACATACAGGAAAAAAATGACAATAATCGCAAAATCGCTATCGCAATGTTTTTCCAAAATTGTTGAGCATTGTTTTTTTGGTTTTTTTTTACCCCAAGGGGAACTTATTTTTGTTAGAGATATGTAGTGCCAGCCAGAAAAACAAACACTTATCTTTATAAAGTTAAAACTAAAATAAAATAATAACATATAGGTGTTAAAGCTATGACACCTGATTTTGAAACCATAGATTTCATGTTCTTATTCTCCTCTTGAACTTTGTATTGCAACACTGTAACTGCCTTTATTGTCTATTGTTCAATTTATAATATATTGACAAAGGAAAGTAGTCAAGTAAACTGCTGTCTACATGATGGACAATACTAATCTCATTGTTAAAAAGAAACATTGAGAATTAAGTCGGGGTGTTTAGGCTTGTTGATACTTTACAGTGACATCATGCTGGGTGGATACTGCGTCTATGTCTATGGAGGAATGTTTAAGTCACAGAATGTACAAATCCAAGTTGGCAATTAAGTGAATGTATTACCAGCCCAGATTGAAACTGGCCACTAAACTTTGCTCTTTACGGAGCATTGTGTAACTTTTCTAGTGTGGGGTCCGTCAAATGCTTTTCTCCATGGAGATTTCATTGCTTTGTCTGGAATGTTTCTCATTATGGCATTGAACCTTTCTATTTTCATGGAGATCAAACCAGACCAAGTTACAGGTCAGATCCGTGGAGAGGCGACCCTGCTCACAGTCAGAATGCCTGTTTTTCTTGGCATTTTTGAGCTATAAAACCAGCTGTAATTTAATAAATGTAAAGTAGAGCCGTTTAATGTCATACTGTGGAACATTCCATGCAGAGCAATGACATCTCCATAGAAGCAAGCAGGTGACAGGCCTCCAACTGAAAAGTTACATAGTATATTTTTCATCTTATTTTTAAGCTTTTTCTTGTTATAATATTTGTTCATATTTCATAGGTGCGTCTTCAAACTCAGAAACAGTTCACCGGGATATGGCAATGTGCTACTACCACATTTTCAAAGGAAGGGGTGAGTCAGAGGAGGGGTCAAAGTGGTTCGACTTGTCAGACCTGTTAACAGTCTTGGTGGTGAGAATACACCAGACAACACTAGTCCCATTATGAAAAAGAAAGATCCAAAATTATGGTTTTAAGGCCTGTCATTCTAACAAATATTGATGTGTAATTAATGATATACATATGAAAATATGACAACAAATTATACTACTTTATGCCCCTGACACAATAACTTTAAAGCAGAGTAGTTCCATTAAACCTTTTTTTTTTCAATTAGAAACATTGTAAACAAATCATAAGTTGCAATCACAAAATAGCACAATGAAACATTTAAAGAGAGGCTATTATGCAAAATCGATTTTTAGCTTTCAACCATGTCGTAATCAAAAACCTGCCTGAAGAGGTTTTAGATATCATCGATGCATGTTCCAGTATTTTAGCATTTTCTCCCAGGCTTTACCCGAACCTCCTTACAGTTAGCAGTAAGATTCTGTACAATGCTCCTTCCACAAGCCTACGTCACCCAGGCTCTCACACGACAAGTCTCCATAAATATACAAAAACATGATACAATACATCACCTCACAAAGTAAGTCTGATGTGTAGTAGTTTCATTAGTGCGATACATGCTGGTTGTGTTGTGATAGTGCTCTGAAGGGGGAGTGGCTTAATGTGGAGAGCAAAGGGACCGTCAAAACCAAAACTTTGTTAATATATTATTTTCTCTGACTATAGTATTTTCAAAACAATAAAAGGAAACATGGTGTATAAATATGTTATGTGTTGGCAGTTAATAGCCTACAGAAGTCAAATATCCTCTCTTTAAGTAAATCAAAGCAAAGATGTGTTTGATGCTCTAAACATAATTTAATTGTTTTTCTATGACAATGATAATTAAATCTTGAATTCTGTCTGTTAGTATATATAAGTGCTGGATGTCAACAGTGTACACACACCTGAAGACTTTCACAAGCATTCTTTGCAATGGGTAAAGCTGCTAACATAGTGTACCTTTCTGTTACATTACCTAGTCCTGTTTCGGCACATGATTACATGAAGCACTGTACTACTGCTGCTATATTGTTTGTAGGGTATTCATCACCATCTTATCACTATGGAGATGTTATCACTATGGCAATCTTAAAAAAACCTTAGAGCATTATACTGTCAACAGGTCGCCACTCCACAGATCTGCTCTGGTGGCATGACAGCAGTGTCACTATAGAGATATTAGATAAGATAACATAATATCTCATTGTGGGCCATCCATGGTAAGTCAGTAACATTTCCAAGCAGTTGTCAGGCAGACCCTCCACCGGAAAGTTACATAATACATCTTCTAATACAGGGGTGTCAATCTCACATTCACAGAGGCCAAAATTAAAAACTGGGACTAAGTTGTGGGCCTAACTAAATATTTACTGAAAAATTTCAACAACATCTGCATGTTTTCTCTTTTTTCAAGATATGTAATATTAAACCTTTTCTTATTAAAAGAAATGTTTAGTAATAGTTTTGCTTAAACACTGAATCCAGAACATGCATAATATAAAATAATAACATTTTAAATTAATAATGTCTCTATAGTCTATCTGTAGCTGGCGGGCAGCTCTAATCCATATTTGATATGATCTCGGGCCAAATATAATTATACTGCAGGTCAAATTTGGCCCCCGGGCCTGAGTTTGACATGTCTGTTCTAATAGATAAATAAATGTGTCCTGGGTTTGGCCCAGTTTGAGTCCATGTGTAGATTTGGTTTGGTTCCATTCCAGTTCTGGTTTTGTCCTGGTTTATTCCAAGTTTACTCCCAGTGTTGATGTGGTGAATGTGCCATTGTGAATGCACCTTGAGTAATATTTTCTTACTGACTGTTCAAAAGATACAATATTTTTATTTATTTATTGCAGTGAAAATGATCCTAATTTATCATCACTTTGAAACCCATGCATACAAATCAGATGTGCTCATTTGTGTTCCTTGTTGCAGGTGTCCGGGTTCTTTAAAGGCATGGCTCTGCCTGTGACCACCATTGCTATGACCTCCTCCGTAACATTTGGGGTGTACAGGAACTTCCTCCACTGCCTGAGCCAACTGAGAGGGGGAGGAGCTAACACCAGACTGGACGTGGCACTGGCTGGCATGGCTGGAGGCATCGCCCAGGTAACCAAACTCAAACTGGTGCAGTGCTGAAGGAAATAGGAACATTTGTGTTATGGTATCATGATAGGCGTAGCTGTTATATGTTTTTTTTCTTTTTACATTTTGAAAGAATCTTTGATATTGTTTGGTTTTAGCTGACATCACAACATTCTATAGGCTAATAACATTTAATACTGATGAGGGCAAACTAATATTGTTAAAACCTATATTTGATTTGAACATGTCATGTATTTGGAATTACATAAAATACCTGTAAAGATGCTTTATCTGATTTTTGCTGACTTAAAAACATGAAAAACAGAACAAGTTGATTTTAAACAGTTTGTAGTGGTTCAAAGTTTTTCCTCATTTATCTTTATAAATTCAGATTATCATAATTATTAACTGTGATGAATTTATAAGTGCTTTTCATAGCTCTCAGAGACCTTTGCAGAGTTTTGCAAAGTTCCACAGTGCAGCTTTATATCTCCGGCTACTAGAGGTGTAATGGTACATGTATTTGTGCCAAACCGTTTCAGTACAGGATGTTCCGTTTGGTGCAGGGCTGTGCACAAGTGAATTTGCGCAATTTGTGGGTGTTTACATTCTGCCACTACATGTGCGGCTACACGGATGACTCGGCCCTTTAATATTCACAAGAGAACTCGTCCGTGATTAGGGTGGCAGTGTTTTCCACAGTGCTTTATAGTTAGGGTGGCCACCATGACAACAATTGCCCCCTCGCTTTGACTACATCCGAATCACATGAATCCTTGAAAAACTGCTGTCATCCCGCCACGGTCCTCACTCACTTTCTCCTTTTGCCAGCAAGGAATCTCCACCCCCACCCCCTCCCCTGCCAGCAGATCTGCTCTTACTGCAGACAGTGTGGGCAAGTTGTTTTTTCGGGCCAAAAATATGAAGATTGAGTAAAAGTTCATCCTGGAACTGTTAGTGCTGTGCTTTACTTTTTGAAAAGTTTGTTTACTGTTTAAAATAAATTTATTTTTTATAGTATTTCATACATTTGTTGCTTATTTGAGTATATATTTGTTTTACTTATTAGTATTACCAAGTAGCACTTTGCATTTATTTTATGTTCCTGTTTGTATAATGTTAAAACAAATGGTTGGTTTAATAAAAATACAAATAAACAACAAGCAAATGGTTTTGTTGGCATTTTGTATCATTTATTGGCATGTGTTTAGAATTTTTATAGCCCAGATGACCATTAACATTTTAAAAATTAGTCAATTATTACTTTAATTTTTTATTTTTTTTGGGATTAACTGTTAACAGTGCTAAGTGACAGTAATGACTAACAGCTCTTTCTTTCCCACAGACTTCAGTTATGTCTCCGGGTGATTTGGTGAAGGTCCGTCTCCAGTGTCAAACAGAGTGCAAACGCGGGGGTCCGGTTAAACCCAAATACAGGGGTCCCATCCACTGTCTCCTCAGCATCATGAAGGAGGAGGGGGTCAGGGGCCTGTACAGAGGAGCACTGCCCTTAATGCTACGGGACGGACCCTCTTATGCCACGTACTTCACTGTGTACGCCTCCATCTGTGACGCGCTCGCCGACAAAGACAAGGCCAGACCAGGTATGACTGAAACTCCTCTGGTATGTTCTGTAAACTTGTTTCAGGCATGTGCGGTCACGTTGGTGTTCCCTCTGTGGTAATCCTTCAATTGGGTACTACAGATGTTGAAATTGTTCCTAAATATCTCATCAACATTTGTTCTCAAAGGTGCACTAAGTTACTTTTTTGATGAAGGGTACGCCATCTGCTTGTATCCATAGAGATGCTATTTCCTTGCCTGGGATGTTCCTCAGTAAAGGATTAAACTGATATATTTAGGTTTTAGTACTCAATAATACATTAAAAATTATGTATTGTTGCTGTGAGTGGGATCGCGTCTCCACAGATCTGACAGTAACATGGCCTAGTAGCACCACCCACTTGTTTCCACAGAGATGGATGATTAATCTGATTAATCACTGATTAATGCTGGGATTTAGGTAGTGACCATTCAGATCACACAGAGGCATTTTAGGTTTAATCAACTGGATTTCAGCCTTGGAACTGACAACACAAAAAAAAGAGGGGCTCATTCTCTTTTCTAATTTGATCAAAACACTAAATTATAATGTAAACAGCTTGGTCATTGTGTCCAGTGTTTTTGTAATTAAAAGAAAAAGAGCACAGCGTAATTTATTACATATGTAAAAGTAGTTTACATATGCATTTTGTGCTTTAGTTTTTATGACAGTTATTCATTGTGAAAGCAGTATGAGCAATTCACTTTGGGTTGCCAGATTGGAATGAACCCAAAATAGCTCTAGGACATGATGTATCCTCATATGACAGCTAATGGCATCCAGGTAGTTTTGATTTAATGCCAGATTCACTCATCACAGCTCTTACCTCTAAGGTAATATTATCTTCCTGTGAAGTAGGGAGATAAATCAACCTTGAAAAAAGGTTGTAAATGAAGCTAGTAAAATGAAGAAGCCAAACAAAACTAGCCTAATTATAATTTACATTGTCAATTTAAATCATTTTCTCTTATATAGATATCTCAATTTACATAGTGAGGATTTCTGGAGTGCTGTTAAACAAGCCCCTCTCAAATAACATTACACTCACAAGTTACCTAGATTTAGCCAACACTTTTTCAGTCAGTCTTTCACATTTTTGTTGAAAATCAAGCACAAATGTTTTGTTTAAATCCATTTTGTTTTTTTTCTTGAGTTTTTAAACAATCAGAAAATCTTGTTGGCAGTGTTTGCTAATGTGTGCATTATTTCACCATGGCAACTGCTGAACATGCATGCAGTGCACCCCCTGCGTGATGTCACTGCAATGTTCCTGTTCATAGTGAGCTAGTGATTTTTTTAACCTGTGGAGACTTGAAGTATTGGCTGTTACTTGACCAGGGCCTGGGGCAGTGTACTTATACTACTGCTCTCTGACTAAAGAATGTTTTCAGAGCAGCTTGAACTTCACCACATGTTTAAGTATGTGGTCCTCTGGCATTCCCACTGTCACACTCACAAATGTATTACCATGCACTGAAACCACGTTAGCTCCCAGTGGACACCGCAGTTTTCTAACGTGGAAGTCAGTGGATTTGTTTTTTTAATAAGTTGTTTTATATGAATATTGCATTTAGTCGATATTTGTAAAGTGGATGTGTTCATTAAAGCAGTGTTTCCCAAACTTTTTTCTGGGAACCCATATTTTAAAAGTCACAAACCTTTGCGACCCAAGTCAATAATTATTTGTAAATCACAAAATAAAGGTGGATTTGACCATTATTGAACATTGTTGACTGAGTGATCGTGTCTCTCTGAACAATTAGTATTATTCTTTAAGCTTTAAACAATGAAAAACAGTAATACCAGTAATAAAATGATCCGTAGGTCACCTATTTTGGACATTAAATGTAGCCCATTTCTTTTTTCTTTCAGAATTCAGTTGAACCAGCAATACTGGAACAAAATAGTCAATAAAATAATTACAGCAAGATTAGAAATTATACAAAACATGTACATAACATTTCAACATTTCTAATGCGTTTTTTTGTAGCACGTTCCAGTCCAGGGTGCAGGAGCGCAGCGTCCCATATCAGTAAGCACAGAAAGTCTCGTGTCAGAAGTGTATATTGCAGACTTACATGCAGATCGTGACAAGGCAACCCCCAAAAAAATCTCTTGCGACCCACTTGAGGGAAACAATGCTTTAAAGCACTCATATTACTCTATTTTCTGATCTATGTTATAATGTTGTTTCCTCATCCAAAATGTATGCTTTGTTTCATTCACACATGGTTAACACACAAACTCTGAATATTTAGGCTGAGTTCTTCTCACAAATGTCATATGGTAAAACTAGAAGTGCTAAACACACCTTCATTGGAATTATTTAAGGAATTTCAGCCTCTACTGAATGTAAATTTAAAGGTAGCTGCTTACATAAAAATTACTGCTTCATGACATCACAAGGTGGAACAGAGCATTTTGAGCTTTGGAGATGTAGACGGATGAATAATAAAGGATTAGCATGGAAATAAAGGAAAATCAAGGAAAACAATAAAAATAAAGGAAAAGCATGCGTAAATGAAACACAACTTCAGGTTTGTTTTTGATGAGGTAAAACATTCTAACATGACTAAAAGGCTTAAAGCTCACAAGAGTCAATTTTGCATAATGTAGGACATTTAATATTTCTCCTTATTTCTTTGTTATTTCAGACTGGGGTGTGGTGATGCTCGCTGGGGGAGTAGCCGGTGCCTCCGCCTGGGCTGTTGGTACCCCCATGGACGTGATCAAAGCTCGAATCCAGATGGACGGAGCTCGAGACGTGAAACAGTACCGGGGTCTGCTCCACTGCATCAGAGAGACCGTCCGCACAGAGGGGGCCAGGGTCTTCTATCGCAGTCTATGGATCAACTGCCTGCGCGCCTTCCCCTCCAACATGGTGGTGTTCATGACCTATGAACTCTTAACCGACTTCCTGCGAGTGAGGACGCAATCGGATGACATGCCCTACGTGGTAATGGACTAAAAATACACGCACATATAGTTTTTCTTATTCATTCATGTGAAAAGAAATGTTGCAGGAACAATACGAAACAAAATATTCTATCTTAGGACTGGTGATAAGTACTCAAAATAGCGGCTATAAACAGGAAGTTGAATGGTCACTAACTTAATTATATTTACATCAATTTTTTCTTATTTATTCATCCATAACTGTGAAAAGAAAAGTTGCAAGAGTAAAACAAAACAAAATATTCAGTTTTATTAATGGTGAAAAATACTCAGAAGTTGAAACAATGGCCACATCTCTAACTACTGAAACTGTAACTTTACATTTATAGCCCTATACACACGGGATTAGTATTACCTGTGGACCTTTGGTGATTTGTAATAATGTGGAGGATGCCTGAGATCTTAATCTCGTGCAAATGAGCCATGTTTGTAATTTTTAAAGTAAAAATTCCATCGCAAATTACCTACTATATTTCGCCAAGCGCACACATTCGGTGATAACACTAGTCCTGTGAGAATCTGGATCTTAGTGTTTGTTGTTGTAATTGCGTGCCTTTTCTATCTCATTCTTTTCTTCCTGCGATCTTTTCTCTTTCAATCTCAATCAGTGTCAGTAAAATAGAGTAATTTATGGACTTGGCTTATCCCGTGCCAATTCTCTGCAAGTAACACAGAGGTGGGGCAGTAATTTGCAAATTACCAGATGTCCCAAGGTATCTCGTGCAAATAGGGCTAAAGTTTGTATTATTTATCCGTGGTTGTGATACAAATTCAGCATTGTTGACAGGGCAATTAACAAAACAAAAATATTTTATAGTGAATGGTAGAGATGGGATGAGATACAATTTCCACAAGATGAAACAAGACGAGATTTGAACATAATTCCTAATATATAAAGTGTGCAATAATGTTTCCAAATTGAACTTACAATTTTGGATTCATTTAATTTAATATTTTTGTTGCCATAATAGCACTACTGTTTGGAACTATAATCTAAGATGTAATTCACCGATGCGTGGCTCCTTTTTACTCAATTTAAATTTAAAATACATGAGGGCAAATTCTCACGAGATTTTGTGACACGAGATCTTCCCTCATGAATGGTGAAAAGTACTCAAAATGGTGCCTATCACCATATCACCAACATATCATTTTTATGTTAGTTAAAATACAAAATGTCATTAATATTTCAGTAAAATAATGTCAGTTTTTTTATTAATTCAAAAATAACCCTAAAACCAAAAATACTCATAATCTCACTAAAATATCAAACTGTACTTTTGATAAAATAATGGCTGGGAATTATTAGAAAAAAATGCCTTCTCATGTTATCATCCAAATATTGATTTTAATGCTGTATGAATTTGCTTTCCATATCAGTACTGTTAATAGACCAGACATGCTTTTAATTAACTACCATTTTGCTGAAAAAAGAGTGAAATGGTTTCTTGAACTATCTCAGTTACCATATCATGTTACATTGTTTAAAAGGTGCTGGTTGAAATGGAACAGTAAAGATATTGTTCTCGTTTGTATTCGAGAATAATCCTGCAGTTAGCGCAATGTCTTCCTTTTACCACAAGAGGGCCTCAGCGGACTGTTCATAGTGTTGACATTTTCTACAGGCCTTTATTAATATGCACCAAAACTGTTCAAATGTGCTGCTGTAGATCATTCTCTGCAAAAATGACTTGAATTCATATTTTTGTAGGACTGTTACAGTTTTGTAAAGATACCGGTAGGTGTAGTTAAAGGTGCATTGTGTAACTTTTCTGGTGGAGGGTCCGTCAGATGTGTTTTCTTCATGGAGATGGAGAGACAGTATGGCATTAAACTTTTCAATCTTCATGGAGATCAAACCAAACCAAGTTACAGGTCAGATCTATGGACAGGCAGCACTGTTCAAAGTCAGAATCTGTTTTTCTAGGTATTTTTGAGCAGTAAAACCACCTGTAGTTAAATAAACATGAGGCAGAGCTGTTAAACGTTATACTGTTGATGGACGCCCAACCAAAAAGTTACACAGTGCACCTTTATAATTTAGGATAGGTCTAATTTAGATATCAACAGAAGTTTATTTCAAAAGCTATTTCGCTCATCAGTACTTGACTCATAGTTGTATTTCAATTAATATCATGCATGTTTGAGTAATCCTGTATTGTCCTGCATTTGAGGCATAAGAACTCAGAAAATTGCAGTTTTCACCTACCCCCTATCCCCACAATTCTAGATGCATACACAAATGTCCAAAACAGTGACACAAAAAATACATTTAAAACATGTCATTGAGAATCTGCTGGTTGCTACAGTGAAATTCCACTTTAAAAAGGCAGGTTCAGTTCTGTAATTTTGAATAAGAACTCAACAAATCTGTTTCTGTTACCTATACTTCATTAAGGGTCAACATTGCAGTTCAATTAACAGAATGTAGCATAATGAGCTCCGTATGTGATGGTTTATTGCCAAATAGTGTACCAGAAAAAGCATTATATCTGTTCTTTCATATACATTTTCTATTACGCTGGCAGATACATTTATGAGAAAAAGTCCAGCAATTTAATAAGTCTATACTGCTCAGATGAATACTAATGTTCCAAGAAATCAATATGCCTTCGCTCTTACACTTTAAAAACTGTATTACAATCACACAAATTGACCTTCCAATATTTGTGTACCATAATTAAGAATAAATCAGCATTACAGTCGTTATCAGTATCACAGTTAGGTCATGTTTATGAAATTTCAAATCTAAATCTTACACGGTTCCTTTATTCTCGAGGGGCAGTTTAACAGAAAGACTGTGAGGTTGGGTAGGTACAAGTCATATTAACTTGTGTTGATGCAAATGAATGTTACTCTGTGTTCTAAAATGGCACATAGTAATATAACCAGGACTATTTATATTAAATAGAAAACCTTCCTCTTACATAATTAAACTGTATGGTACTGTGCTAAAACAGACTATTACTCCAGAAAAATATTATAGTTTGAACTGATTTGACTTTTTGTTTCGCAAATTTAATTTCAAAAACTTACATTTAAAAGTGCAATTTTCTTACCCTAATAAATATGGAATTGCTTTACACATAATTTTTAAATATACTGGTAAAGTCAGATAATATTTGCCTTTATGCGCAAAACTACTCCAAATGTATATGTTTGAAAGTGTATCGTTGCTTTCCTAAAAGTGCACTGCGTAACTTTTCTGCTTGTCTCCATTAAGATATTATTACTTTGCCCTGGAATGTTCCACAGTATGGCATTACACGCATTTTACTTGCATTTATTTCAGTACAAGCTCAAAAACAACTTCAAAATCATGAATTCTTACTGTAAGCAGGCTCGCCTCTCTACAGATCTGACCCGTTTCTTGACAAACTGTGACTTGTTTGTATCCATGGAGATAGAAAAGTTACACAGTGCATCTTTAATATCACTATGGTTTCTCTGCACACTCTTGCCTTGTGATTACTGCTGCGTGTACAGTTATTTGTGGTAAGACGTATAAAATATGTATATTTATATCTGAACTAATAAGAGCTGGTACTGGATTTTAGTGTAATAAACATAGATCTATTTATTTTGTAGATTGAACAGATTTATTCATGTTTATTAGAGTTAAATTATATATCATTTTGTCTGTACGGTCACTTTAAAAGGTTGTTGAACACTGTATTTTCCTCAGATATACTGTATGTAAAGTGTAGTACGCCCTCTAGACAGCAGAACTGTTGCTTTGAAAATGTAAGCTTAAATTTGTCACTGGGTAAATTATAAGAATTATTGCACTGGGGAAAAATTATAAAAAATTACAAAAATTACAAAACTTTTTTTTTTTTATTAAATTTTTTATTGTCACTGTAAACAAACAAAACTGAAACGGTTACTTTAATTCACATATTTTCATACAAGTTTCAATGCATAATTCTATAGTTATTCTGAGTTTTTAAAATTTCTGTTTTAAATTAATTTTCAGTTTTTCATGTTTTTTGTTTTGTTTTTTTACATGTAATTGTATTTATTTGATCTTTTTGATGATAAATTATTATTTGAAATGTTATCTGCTGTCTTCATGGTGACTTTTACATGTCAAGGTCAAATGTCCAAATCTCTGAAATAACATGCCTTCCTTCCATTTTGTTGTGAAGTTAATATATTTTTATGTGTTTTTTTTTTTTTTGTGTGTCTCTTACGCACATGTGTTTACAGATTCACACAATGCTCTCTGTTCACTGACACATTGGGCTAACGGTCCAGTTTACTTGCACATACTAACCTTATTAATGTGAAATCCTGCCTTAAACTCTTTAAGTCCACAGTTGGTTTGGTTAAAATAATATATCTGTATATGTTTGGAAATTATCTATTAATCTATTTATCTGATTATCTGTACAGTGATGTGGAATAACATGTACAGGCAATAAATATTTTAATATTGATTGTTTCTGTTTACTGTGTTCTTGCATTGTTGGCCTTTCAATTTAAGAGTGGGTATTATGCAAAATTGACTTTTTGGAACTTTCTATGTTATAACAGTATAGCTTACAAATAGTGGTGGAGTAACCTAAAGTAATAGCACTGTTACTTCAAAATAATAATACAAAGTACAAAGTAGTGGTTCAAGAATTTACTGGAGTATGAGTAAAAATGATTTGAGGTTACTACTAGTCAAATCGGTGTAACTGTCTGGACATATCTGCTGAGGCGGATAGAGCTGACAAAAATTATACTCAAGTTAGAGTGACCAGATTTGCTAAATGAAAAACTGAGACACCCCTGGTTTGTGGTGGTAGGTAATGATAAAATTGTGAAACAAGTGTGTAATTAAGGAGAATTGTTCTGCACTCAGCCCATTCATGACTTATTCATGAATAACATGAATCAGTATGATTTTGTGTGTAGTGTACCTAAACAAATGACAATTTATGCCTCCCTTTATTGTTGGCAGGTGTCAAATTGGTCAAAAATAGGGACACCTGAAACATTTCTTGCATAAAACTGGGACAAATCAATGGTTTTGGAAAAATCTCTTGGAACACAGTGCTCAAAACTGGGACTGTCCCAGGTAAATAGGATGCCTGGTCACCCTAAATCAAGTAAGACTAAAAACTGTCAGGGCGTAACATTTGATTTATAATTTGAAGTTAATATAATGTGAAGGTGGTGAGCTTGGTCACATGGGAGGAGCTCGGAGTAGAGCCGCTGCTCCTCCACATTGAGAGGAGCCAGCTGAGGTGGCTTGGGCATCTGATCTGGATGCCTCCTGGGCGCCTCCCTAGGGAGGTGTTCTGGGCGTGTCCCACCTGGAGGAGGCCTCGGGGAAGACCCAGGATGCGCTGGAGGGATTATGTCTCTTGGCTTGCCTGGGAATGGTCCCCCTGGAGCTGGAGGAAGTGTCTGGGGTGTGGAAGTCTGGGAGTCCCTGCTGAGACTGCTGCCCCCATGACCCGGCCCCAGATAAGCAGAAGAAAATGGATGGATGGTAATTTGAAGGATTAAACATAAAATAATGTACAAAATCAAAGGATAGGACACAAGTCATCTCAATGATCACAGCCAGAAACTCAGATGTTCAAATCATTTCATATTATCAACATAAAGCCTTTGTTGCCTGTAGACCACAACTTTTACTCACGTCACACTGTACAATATATTACTGAAGTATATGAGTAAAAATATGGTGTCTAAAAACTACTCAGAACTACAATTTTATAAAAGAGTTCCAAGAAATACAACCTAGTCTTTTCTCAGTGTAACACAGATCATGGTGGAATCAAACCGTTAACCCTCTGGCCGTGAGCGTGTTTTTGAAGTGAGGGTAAACTCCCTTCACATTAAAAACGTGTGAAGACAATTTACACTCTGTATAATGTGGAACTGACTCATGCTTCTCCCACATTCACAAGAGTCATAAAAACAACAGTACAAATGTTCCAGTGGAAAGCTTTAAATGCTTTTGGAATGACGGCTTTCCCAGACCACGGAGCACGGGTCCCACAGGGATATACAGATTATATACAGCAGTAGTAGTAGTGGAAGTTGTAGTAGTAGTATTATTGGTGGTAGCAGCAGCAATAGTAGTAGTAGTAGTTGTTGTAGTAGTTGTAGTAGTAGCAGCAGTAGTTAGTAACAGTCAAAGTAGTAGTAGTAGTAGTAGTAGTAGTAGTAATGGTGGTGATGGTAGCAGTAGTAGTAGTAGTAGTAGTAGTAGTAGTAGTAGCAGTAACAATCATAGTAGTAGTCTAGTAGTAGTGAGTAGCAGTAGTAGTAGTAGTAGTAGTAGTAGTAGTAGTAGTAGTAGTAGTAGTAGTAGTAGTAGTAGTAGTAGTAGTAGTAGTAGTAGTAGCAGTAACAATCATAGTAGTAGTCGTGATGGTAGCAGTAGTAGTAGTAGTAGTAGTAGTAGTAGTAGCAGTAGTAGTAGTAGTAGTAGTAGCAGTAACAATCATAGTAGTAGTAATGATGGTAGCAGTAGTAGTAGTAGTATCAGTAAAAATCATAGTAGTAGTAGTAGTGATGTAGTAGTAGTAGTAGTAGTAGCAATAGCAGTAACAATTACAGTAGTAGTAGTGATGATAGTAGTAGTAGTAGTAGTAGTAGTAGTAGTAGTAGTAGTAGTAGTAGTAGTAGTAGTAGTAGTAGTAGCAATAACAATTGTAGTAGTAGTAGTGATGGTAGCAGTAGCAGTAGTAGAAACAGTAACAATCATAGTAGTAGTAGTAGTATAGAGATAGATAGTAGTAGTAGTAGTAGTAGTAGTAGTAGTAGTAGTAGCAGTAACAATCATAGTAGTAGTAGTGATGGTAGCAGTAGTAGTAGTAGTAGAAACAGTAACAATCATAGTAGTAGTAGTAGTAGTAGTAGTAATAAGTAGTTGTAGTATTAGTAGTAGCAATTACAGTAGTAGTAGTGATGATAGTAGTAATAGTAGTAGTAGTAGTAGTAGTAGTAGTAGTAGTAGTAGTAGTAGTAGTAGCAATAACAACTGTAGTAGTAGTAGTGATGTTAGCAGTAGTAGTAGTAGAAACAGTAACAATCATAGTAGTAGTAGTAGTAGTAATAGTAGTATTAGTAGTAGCAATTACAGTAGTAGTAGTGATGATAGTAGTAGTAGTAGTAGTAGTAGTAGTAGTAGTAGTAGCAGTAACAATCATAGTAGTAGTAGTGATGTTAGCAGTAGTAGTAGTAGTAGAAACAGTAACAATCATAGTAGTAGTATTAGTAGTAGCAATTACAGTAGTAGTAGTGATGATAGTAGTAATAGTAGTAGTAGTAGTAGTAGTAGCAGTAACAATCATAGTAGTAGTAGTGATGGTAGCAACAATCATAGTAGTAGTAGTGATGGTAGCAGTAGTAGTAGTAGAAACAGTAACAATCATAGTAGTAGTAGTAGTAATAGTAGTTGTAGTATCAGTAGTAGCAATTACAGTAGTAGTAGTGATGTAGTAGTAGTAGTAGTAGTAGTAGTAGTAGTAGTAGCAATAACAATTGTAGTAGTAGTAGTGATGTTAGCAGTAGTAGTAGTAGAAACAGTAACCATCATAGTAGTAGTAGTAGTAGTAATAGTAGTAGTAGTATTAGTAGTAGCAATTACAGTAGTAGTAGTGATGATAGTATTAGTAGTAGTAGTAGTAGCAGGAACAATCATAGTAGTAGTAGTGGTGGTAGTAGAAATGTCGTTTTAGCAGTAGAAATAGTAACATTGTTCTACTGTTAGAATATTCAGGGGCAGTGATTGATGGTTGAATCCCAGTTCTGACCGGTACACTGTGCCATTGTGTCCTTGGGCAAAACACTTACAACACTTTGTCATTTTGGGGGCTTTGGAGTTGCCTAAATCTGTTGGATTTGTGTGTTAAATGTGTTTGAAAAAACAACCACAACACAACTCCAGGTGTGTTTGTGATGAAGAAACAACATTAAACTCAAGACTTTATGGAGAAGGAGGAGAGGTCATCGGGTACGTTTCTGGTCTTATGATAAAAAAGAGAACAAACATCCCCCTCGGAAAAGAAACAAAGAAAAAAAATAAAAATAAAAATCATTACAGCTTCACCGCTAACTCAGTCCACAATGTCAGTGCACTCACGCTTTGATACTATTACATCGTTAATTACTACACAATAGCTTTTGATCTACAGGGAATCTGTCTGTACCTCTAGTACTTAATAACCTTTTACAATGAGTTCTAGGAATCTGTTACAAACCCCCTATTGTTAGTTGATTTTAATTAAGTCCTTGCTTGCTTCCCCCACCCCCATCCCTGATCTCCATCTTATGCAACTACGGCGTACAATTATGCAAGCACGTTCGGGCTGGATGAGAGGCATAGCTGGCATCACTGTGTGCCGTCATGCAGAGTAAAAGTGATCTGCGTGCATACATAATTTAAAGGCAGTTATGGTTTCCCCGGTGCGGTTCAGAGAAGTTGGAAGCAGGGGTTTCGTGGTAGTGGGTCGGAATGTGCCAGGATGGAGTGCTGAAATAACACATTTGTACCAAGAAAATCCAAAAGGGACAATGGTTTCTAAGAATTGCTGAGTTTCTGTTCGCTGGGTTTAAGTGCATGTGATGTTTATTTATAGATTCTTTGGTGGGAAAAATGTCATAGTTAAAAACTCCAGTCAAGTGATAGTTAGTTTGTGAAGGAATGCTGGAAGGAGCTCTGAGTTTTAAAATGGAATCCCTATGTCATCAATACACAAAATTATGTCTCAAATGAAGGGATGCTTTTTTTCTGACAATTTAATGAACACATATTGTGATTATGTCTGTTGTACAGTTATAATCTACAATTGGGGAAAGAAGAGAAACAAATATTACATGGTTAAAAGCTCTGAAAAGTCCATTTTGGGGAATAGTTCTGCAGTAAACATCCTCAGACACATGGAGGCCCTCGCATGTCTCTATGTATGTCTCATCTACTGCTTTTGTCCAACCAGGAAGTACAATTATAAACTAAATATGTAACCCTAAATTGTCAAATTATAAGGAAAACTATGGAAAATTTTGGGATAAATCATATATATATAATCTTGGACAGCTGCACACAGCAATAAGCAGCAGGTATCCTATGCAAAAGCAAAATAAAGAACAAACATAATAAGAGCCTGAGCTGTTCTAATTCAAGGTGAAATGAATAGACAATAGGGCTGCATATGATTGCCTGTCTGTTCACATGGGACAGGAGGGTCCTGGTTAAACTCACATCTGTGCTGCAGCATGTGTGTTGCCTCCTGCAGGACGCCCTGTGCTCTGGAGCAGCTTCAGTGAGGTCTTTCCTTCCACAGGTCTTTCCTGCTGCTGCTGTCACACTGTACAATAAACACTGCCCTGTACATGTAGTACCTGTAGTACTCAGTACTGTAACAGAATGTGAGTCATCTAGTCTAGTTTAATACACTCAAGTCACTTTACCTTCTTTTTATCCTGATTTTAT